CCTATTTGCTATAAGAAACCTGGATGTGCCTGTCGAGGGTTGCGCCTCTTATTATGACAAGCATCACGTGAACACGTGATTCGTGACAAAGTTATAGTATAGTACTTTCCGGTTGTCCTAGGCTAGAGTTACTAAGTAGTATAGGCTAGAACTACTAAGTAGAGTTATATTTAGGGTAAATACTTATTATTTTCGAGGGATATTCTACTTCTAGAAAGAGTAAATATAGTAATATTCTTAAAAGTTAACTTAGTAGTATTATTACTTATTTATAATAAAGGGTTTAGTAGTAGTATTAGTACCTGTTTTACAGTAGAATAGGTAAATATAAAACTATATTTTAAAGTCGAATTTAAAGTAGCTTTTAGTATTAGTTTTATAATAGAACTAATAAAAGTAGAACTAGGTATTATAAAGGTTATAAGGTAAAGTATTAATAAGAGTTTACGCTTAATATCTTAATATCTAGCTATAGTAAATTCGTACTATAGCTATAATAAATATATTATCCTTTAATATATCTAGACTTAATAGATTTATATTAATAGCTATTCTAGATCTTATAGTTTAGAGTATATAGATTATAATAAATTTATGTTATAAATCTAGGAGCTACTATAGTATATAATTCTAGTACTTTCGAGGTCTAGGACTTAATAAATTTATATTAATAGCTGATCTAGGAGCTCTTTAAGTACTTATTATATTAGTATTAGTTCTAACGTAGTCCACAAGCGAGTTGGATTCCCAAGCGAAATGGATTTTTTTCTTGGCATTTTATAAATTCTTAAATATCTCACGACACAATTAATTAAATTAATTACAGTATTCAGAATCGGAATCCTCACATATTTCTTCTCCTTTTTGACAAGTTCGTATGTTATGGCCATGTTTCCCACATAGTCCACAGCGCCGGCGAGGTACTAGACTCGGGCTCGTACAATTACTATTTTCTACTAAAACCACTTGTTCTTGCGAATCAACATTACTAAGGACCCCTAAATCTTGCGCATCTTGGAGAGTAAGTGATCCTCCTTCCTGTAATCGGCGCTTTTTCGTACGACGACGCCGACTAAGTTGATCATTTGCTGTACGAAGTGTAGCATTCTCAGCTCGTAATAAAGCTACCTCAGTGATTGCACGCTGTGCACCCTTTGCAAGCTGGTCTAGGCCATATAGAATCTGGGTCGGAGAACTATCTTGGTGTCGTACGACCTTGTTTTGTATATATGACGTCTGGGAATATGCCTCTGTTATGTTATTTGGGGTCTTTGGTTCCCAAATAGCTAGGAGGCTTGTTGAGGTAGATGGACGTGACGGAGTCCTTGGACGTATATCAAGCTGTGAAATCACAGAATCTGGGTCGTACGGCACTAAGCCAGATCCTCGAAATCCTCCTCGAATGTTTGATTCAGTCATTGTCGTACGAAAGGCAGTATAGAATGTTGATAAGAAATCCTCCTTAGAAACATATGTAATGTGGAGTCGCATTAATTTCTCAAGTTCAGCACCGTACGACCTTTTTAACGCTCGAAAACATCCTACATCGAGTGGCTGGAGTCTATGAGAGGAATGAGCTGGCATGCAAAGAGTAATAATGTTATTACTCTTACAAAAAAGCTCAAAATCGACTGAGTGGTGGCTTTCATGGCCATCAAGCACAAGCAGCCGGTGAATGCCCTTCGTACGAAGCTTTGTATGCCGATCGAAATGAAAAATCCAATCTAGGGCTCGCTCATTTGTTGTCCAGCCATTTGTAGTTACAGCAATTACCCAGTCGCGTGGTAATTGGCTGTTTTCGTACCAGGAGGAGAGGTGGTTCTTCCCCGCCAAAATGATATATGGAGGCACTACAAAGCCGTACGACCCAACACCTTGAATTACTGTTGCCCATTCCCGGTTTCCTTGCTGTACTGTACGAGGCCGAGAAAGCCTTTCGGTACTTGTAACAACCATTTCTGATGTAATTTGGCCCATACAAAACCCAGTCTCGTCAAAGTTATAAATATCCTCCTCCTGAATCCCATATTTGTCAATTATATTTCGTACGAGGCGAAACCACGCGTTATACGCGTCTGGATTTTCGCATTGGACTCTTTGATAATCAATCCTTCGATTAAAACGCGTCTTAAGTTCAGGTTGTCGTCGTACGAAGTTCGAAGTCCAGTTCTTGCCAACGCGTCCTGCACCCCGCTCCGAGAGGATACGATTCGCCATATCTTCAACACAACGTACTCGTGGGGGAAATGATCGAGAATCTAGGTCGAGAATATGTCGTACGATAACTATTTCTTCAATCTCTGTAAGTTTTCGAGATTCAGCGATAGAATCTTGTCGTGATAGTATTCCATGAGTTCGATTAAGCAATGTCGTATAAGGTACTTTATAGATCCGCGCAACCTTCTTAACTTTTAAATGTGGGTTCGTACGAAGCGTATTTAACGCAAGAATCATATCAGACTCTGTCCAATGCTTAACCATTTTGTTTGTTAAGAAAAAACGCGCTCTGAATAAGTTTGTGGAGTGCCAAGAAAAAAATCCATTTCGCTTGGGAATCCAACTCGCTTGTGGACTACGTTACCTTTAAATACTTAGCTAATAATAAATTTATATTAAAATCCCGGGGGTAAAAGGTAGAACCTCTACTACTATAATAGCTTTAATATCTAGTGTCGAGGAATCGAAGTTATCTGATTTATACGCGCGCTTATACTAATTAGTATTAGTTTAACTCTAAGTTAATAGAGCCGAAAGATAATAAGGAAAGTATAATATAAGGCTAATAGTTTAGTATCGAATATATCGTATGATAAAGACTATTAGTTGTACACACCGAGTGAAGGTGATTATAAGTGCTACTACTATTATATAGTGGTGCTCAGCGCCAAGTACGGCACGTGAGTGGCCTCGAGTGGTATTCACTTATACCGACAGAGGGATAGGGGAGAAGCGAAGGGGGAGGGGACATTATTTATAGTTATAGCAAGAAGCCATCTATTTCCTTCCTCACTCCCTCACCGCCCCCCTGCCCTTTCCTCCCTGGTGCTCCCAAAAACAAATAAATAACCAAAAGAAAAGAAAGAAAGGAAACACAGAAAAAGACAAGACTTTTCAAAAAGGAAACAGAAGAAGAAAAAAGAAACATCCCCTTTACGTTAAGTCCCTCGATCCCGATCCTAAGTATCTAATAAGGGAGGCCTAACCCTCTCTTACTCGGCTATTTAATATATAGAAAAAAAGGGGAGTATCAAGCTCTCTCTTCCTCACCTCCCCTGAACCCTCACGACTCTACTTCCTCACCTTCCTCACTTCCCCCTCTCTCTCCTCTTTCACCTCTCATCCCCTTCTCTAACCTACCCANCTTCCCCCCTCTCTTCCCCCCTTCACAACTCGACCTACCTCACTATTCCTTACTATTACTTTTCCGTACTTACCTACTATCCCCCACTTACCTACCCCACCTCACCTCTCTCACTTACCCAACTTCTCACATCTCCTCTCACCTCACATCTCACTTCACCCAACTTCCCCTTTCCAATCCTACCTCACTTCACCCAACTTAACTTAAGAACCCCAAGAACCTCCTTATACAACCATATAGGTACATCACAACATAAACCCCAAAAGTTACCTATCTCTCCCAACCTTAACCAGAGTCACTCACTCTACCTCACCTCACCTCCCACTCTCTCATACTCCAAGAACTTACTCACAACCACCTCTCCAACACAACCACCTCTCCAACACAACCACCTCTCCAACACAACCACCTCTCCAACACAACCACCTCTCCAACACAACCACCTCTCCAACACAACCACCTCTCCAACACAACCACCTCTCCAACACAACCACCTCTCCAACACAACCACCTCTCCAACACAACCACCTCTCCAACACAACCACCTCTCTAACACTTCACCACCACCTCACAAACCCACCCTCATCACCCTCAACTCCCCCCACACCCCCACAAATTCTCTCAAACCAAAGACACTAGCCGCAGAAAGAGGGGTCAAAAAAAAAAGTAAAAGAATAGAAGAATAGAAGGTAGGGGCGTAGGTATCAATTTTCTCATCCTAATCCTAATCCTAATCCTAATCACCCTCCAATTATTCTCATTCACCCCATTCATCTCAACTAATTTCCTTTCATCTCATCCTATTAAGCTAGCTACAAGCTAGCTATCCATTCATTCACAAGCCTACTAAACCTCATGGACCCATCAATCCCGTCCCATCCTAACCAACACACCAAAAAAAGAAAGAAAGAAAGAAGACGTAGGAGAAAAGAAACTCCCATCCATCCATCCCTCCATCCCAACGCCACGCTTGCCCTCCATCACCAACGAGTAAAGGGTAGTAAACTGTAGGTCCTATAGTAGAAAAGAGAAAAACATCCCAATCCATTCCACTCCATTCCATTCCAACCAAGAAAAAGTCAACATCAATGAGAAAAAAAATGAGAAAAGTCCCGCATCGACCCTAGAAATAGAAAATCAAAGGGGAGTGAGTAAGGCCGTCATCATCCGTAAACAATTTGAAGAATCCATCCATCACCATCCCATCCCATCACATCAGACCACCATTTACTCCTCCACCCCACCCCCGGACCCCATCCCACTAACCGAGCTCTCCACACTCCCCACACTACTCTTCCTCCCCGCAGGAGAAAGCAACGCCTTCGCCTCCCCAACCTCCATATCATGCAACTTCTTCTTTTTCTCAATACTCGGTGGCACCGTATCTTTATTCCCGAGTAACAACTGGCCTGAAACAGCCTCAAACTCCCCCGCCTCATCATCTTCCTCTTCCTCGCTGGACTCGTTATCCTCCTCCGACGGCGTAGGACTATCAGCCGTGAGAGGCGCCCCCTTTTGATTCTTGAACGCTGCCGATGGACTGTCGGGTCGCGAATCTACATTATTGCTATCCTTTGAGATATTCGTCACATCACTTGTTCCTGATTCGACTTTTTTGAGAGCCTGGCTTCCAGAGAGATGTAGAGGTTTGAGCGTGGGGTCAAAGGCGGCCGGGAGACCTAGGGCAGCGGCTACAGCATGCGCTTCTACATCTGGGGTATTAGAGAGTTCCAATTCCACGGCGTTGGAGCCGGGATTCGTTTCGTGCTCGTTGATGCCACTTTCCCGTAGTATTCGCGCATAGTCTTGTCTACTGGGGTCGGCGCCCCTCTTATTCTTCTTTTTAATGCGCTTCTCAGTAGGGCGTACGACGACCACGGGGACAGGCGAGTATTGTAGACACCATTTCGAGAAGGAATTTCGGTTGCTAACAAGTCCTTGAACTCCTCCCAAACTCCGACCTCGAGTTCCGACGATAAGCATAGCCGGTTCGTAGATTTGAATCTGTGGTTACACAAATTAGCAAAATGAGATATACCTCGCCATATTCCTACGCACCATTTTCTGAAATGTTGCATGTACTTTCCCAACTGCGAATTCAAGGACAATGCTAATTGCCCGATTCTCGTCGTTCTTCTTCTGTATCCTCTTCAGCAATTCCCGAGCTTCCGTCTGGTATTGTCTCCTTTCCAGATTGCGATCACTGATTATCTTTGCTCCCTTTTCTATAACCCTTAAACATATGATCTCGTCTCCGTCGTCCACCAATTCCTCCAGCATCCATCGGAGGGCGATATCGGAGTAGTCGTTCTCATCAATTCCAACCATAAAGGTCCGTGACCTTCTTTTGAATTGGTACCCCTTGTGCTTGACGTTCAATGTGAAAGAAATCGTATTGTTTTCGGTAGGTTCACCCCCAACTCCAAAGTTGTCGAAGGAGACATGGTGTTGAAATCGGCTATTGGTGGGATCTACTGTCAGCACCATTTTCGCTGCAAAGGTATACGTGTAGAAAAAGTAGCAGTCAAAAAGAGAGAAGAAAAATGGGGATTAAACAGCTTTGGAATTGATACACAGAGGCGCACATGCACAATGTTGAAATCTGGGAACAGAGAGGTAAAAAGGGACACAAGGCGTGAAAAAGGTGGGGTCAGGTTCGTCAGGTCACCCGGTGTCAAGACATCGGCCGAACACACCAGTAAGCGAATACAGATCGCGTGGGAGGACGTGGGATTTCCAGGTCCCATCCAGCTGGTCGTGATGCGGATTCGCGTATCTCATACTTAAGACGACCGGTGGTCACTTGCCGTACGGTACTGGAGTTGTGTCTGTATGTTTGTTCCCCGCCTTGTACTGTGACTTTACATGCCTACATCCTCAAACGCAAACGACGAACCATTCATACGAAATCGGCAGAACTTACGATGCGGGCGGCGGAGATGCATCTCGGATCCTCCTGGCTGGCTTGGGTTGGCCTATGGGAGACGTCGGACCGCCCCGCGACGAGGATTTGAAGGAGATACTGGAGATGCTCGTGGCTCGAGAAGGGCGGGTGTGAGCTGCGATAACATGCTCGATGATGGGATCCAGACGGGGCGAGGTGACGAGGGTTTCCTGGCTCGATAAGATAGGAGAACCTGAAGTGGCGACGACCGTTGGAGAATTAGCATTGCTGGCCTCGCCCTTCCCACTGCCATTCCCAAGCCCCTTCCCATTCCCACTACTACTGGCACCACCACCACCACTACCGGTGGTGATGTTGAAATAACCGTTGCTCGTACCAGTATTGCTGCTAGGTGATACGGTGCGCCGTGGCGACGGTGACGACATCGTCGCTGGAGTCAGGAACTGGTGTGTTCGCGTGTCTGAACTAGCCTAAGTCAGGCCTCTCCACAAACTCAAGTCTGTGGTGTTGACCGCGTCTGCGAAGACTGCGAACGAGCGTGTCTGATGTAGATGCATCTATCGTGAGGTTCCCGTGTCGTTTGCCGTTGAGCTGGACAAGAAGACAATGGAAAAAGGCAGCAGGAGCAGGGATAGCTTGGGGGGTGAGCAGTGAAGTGATTGCTAGGCGCCCTGTGAATACCTGGGTAGCTCTAGGGCCCTCAGTCGCCAACTAGCCCTGCCAACTCGGAAGAGGGCCAAGAACGCCAAATCTAGGTTCGAGACGACACACGGCCACGATGGCTTCACCGGCTGGCAGTGAAGATGGGGATTCGATGATTGGGAAGGGTTGTGTGAGTGCAGGAGAGAAGAGGAGAGGAGGGCGCTGAGAGTGCTGAGGGCTGAGGGCAGAGCAGGCAGAGCACATACATACAGCCTCTTGCAGCAATCGAGGTGGGACCAAGGACGAGGTGCGAGATGATTGTACGTCAGCCGCCGAATCCAGCCTGGTCCAATCCCTTGCGCTCTGGATGGTCTCTCAGTCTCTCACTCCCTCAGTCTCAGTCCCAATCTCTCGGAGAGTACGGGATGGGTATGACTAAATATATGACTAATTATATCAATGCCATCCGTTGGTTGGCATGCCTGTGCCCAGTGAATAGGGAAATCTTTTTATTTGTGCAAAAATGCATCCTGCATAGCATCCCATCTACTGTACGCTAAAATACCAACATCTCTGCCATCATTCATCATGCATAATTGCCTTTGCATCCCATTTCCAGCAGACAGTCATATTGGCTGCCTCCTCGATCCCAGCGCAAACAGAAAGCCCTGGGTTCGCTTTTCAACCGAGACGCCATTACCATGCAAAAGCCCCTTTCCCATCCCGAAAGAAATCATCGTCTAGTATGTTCGTGCCAAGTTTCGTAGATACCAATCCACCAACTTGCGGCCAACCTTGGCTTCTGAGATGTGAATCAAGTCCTGAAAAGCGTTAGTAGAGTAAAACACTTGGATAAAATTATACCACTTACTCCTTGCATAGCATAGTCGAGATCTCCAGAACCAACCACCTCACCGTCCAAAAGACCATTATCAGTCCATCGGATTTGTCGTCCTCTTTGCTTGTTGACCAACAACCATCCGCGGAGCTTCTCTGGTTCAACCTCAAGGAATCCAGCCAATTTCTTCAAGTCCATGGTGGTGTAAAGTCGGAGATAAGACTTGACTGTAGGGCTCCACATGTTGGTCTTGACCTCATCCATAAAGATGGCAAGGTGGTGCTCAAGGGGGTCAACATTCAGCTCTGGGTTGTCAAAGTCTGGTGGAGTTGGTGAGATGAACTTGGGGCAGGCTGAACGGAACAACTCCTCGAAAATTGGGAGCGACTCTGGGCCACCTCGTTGAAGCTTCAAAAGCTGGTCACCATACTTCTCGCGGAGTGCGGTGTGGATGGTGTCATCAAGTCTGGTTGGGTGGAAAGCAACACAGATTGCGATAAGGGCGTACATCTGATCATTCTTCTTGGAGATGGAGTCATATTGTGCGCTCTTTTGAACGTTCTTTGTTCTTGAAACATAGATGAGAATGTGGCTGAACATGCGAATGGCATCGGCATATCGTCTCATCATCATGTATGAGAAACCCACGTAGTAGTAGGTGGTGAAATGTGCAGCCATAACTCGGGCGAACATAGCCTTCTTGTTGAGTTCAATATCATCAAGAGTCTTCAATGCAAGACTAAAATCTCCCAAAAGGCAGTGAACTCTCAAAAGCCCAATGATAGAGAAATATCCCAACATTCTGTACAACGACTTCGATCCGTAATCGCCTGCCACAGCCATTGGCTCTTCGTTGCGCTTCATGGCTGCCAATTGTTCATTGATTTGCGATCTCTGGATGAGGGAGTATAGGACGTTCAAGACACTGTAGCAACCCCACGTGTTTGGCGCTTCTCGTAGAATGGCGATTTCCTCCTCATTGTTACCCTGTCGCGCGATGCGGTTTCGGTATGAGCAGAAGGAGTTGAACTGGTAGATAAACTCATCGATAACATCCCAAGCCCAGTAGTACTAGTAAGAGTCAGTTTCGGCCATCGCGTTGTATCTGCAGATTGCGTACGTACCGAAGGTGGCTCCAAGTCAACTGGTCCATCAGAGTTCAAGATAAAGTGGAACAAGCTGCAGTAGTTATCGTAACTTGCGAATTTGACGTCCAACGGCGCCGAGAAATCCAGAGGTTGGGCGGCCGCAGCGAGTCTTGATTGAATATCGTCGGTCTGTTGTGCCATGCTCATTGGCGTCTCCTCCATGCCCTCATATTGTACCTGCTCCCGGTAGTTGGCAGCGAGAGCCTCCTCCTCGATGTCAGAATCATCGTCGAGATCGCGCGGCGGGGCGCCACCGTTCTGGAAGGAGCTCATGTTGTTGGATGGTATGGCTCAAACCTGGGGACGACAAAGCTTTTGTGTTGAGGGGTTCTGAAATTCTTAGCGAATTTCCGTGGTGGTGCGGAAACTCAACTTTGTGTGGGGTAAAAAAGCGGCACTAGATTTGTGTCAGAGCTTCAGTGCCGCTTTTTAGATATTTTGGGTCAATATCACGTGGATGTTCCTGGGAGTCGTCCAGGTCCCCTTTGTTTCGTTCTACTCAAGTATTTGCTTTTTCTTTCCCTAGTAAAATGATTTTCAACTGTCTAGATTCTCTAACGGAAGGACGGGTTCCTCATGCACAATACTGCGGCTCTACCTGAAGCAACAAAACAGTACGATTGCTAAGCGAGAATCAACACTTGTACTTTTACGAAAAACTCTTATTAGATTTTCATAATGACTACTTCTATAAAATCTAATATATAAGATTTACTACGGTTCCCACAAACAACTGGTACATGAGGTTATTAAGAGTGGGAAAACGCTTGTATTCGAAATTAGAACTTAATTAGGTAATTGTAGACCTAACTAACATCGTAGGTGTGAAGAGTATGGACGGCCACTAGAGGAGGCATATTATATATGCAGATAATATATCAAGAATTATATTTTTAAGAAATACGAGTCTTTGATTCGCTAGCGTCGCTAAGAAGTAGGGCTGAGCCGTATTATAAACTATCAGGCTATAACTCTTAGCCGTCTACCCTCTTTATACATGACGCAACAAGGGGATACTTACGTAGTCGGGAAGACTGGAAGAATGGTAGGGTCTCGGGGTTTCTAAGGGCGATTGATGTAGAGGGAGAATAGGCTCGGCTCGCTTACTGGATTGCTAAAGGCTAGAGTGAGATTTGAAGCCAGAGGCAGGAAAGAGTTTTTTCATGTGTTATGAATGAAGTTGCAAATGGGATATGAAGTTGTAAATAGGGGCTACTGTATATTTCATACGGTTATCTAGATAAACAGCCTATTCAAGTAATTTGATATCCAGTCTCATACCCAATGCCCCTTCCCTCTTACCCCATAAACAAAACTCCCAAGACCAAAGCAGGACCTATTCATATCCCAGTCAATCTAGACTCTTACAAACGCCTCATCGCTCATCCCTAAATCCAAACCCGCTTAAGTGTATTTCTGTTGCGTCGTCGGAGTCTGTTGACGTCCCTCGTTCCTGAAGTTATCCTCACTATCCGTAGCCCTCTGCATCTCCTTCGAGCCATGCACCGATGCATCCTGCCGTCTTCCCTTTCGCCACCAAGCAAAGAGCGCGGAGCCCATCCACAGGAACCAAAAGACGGCGGCGACGACCGCATACCCGATTTTGTACGCGCTTTGTTGGCCACCGAGAGCCAGTCCCAATCCCCCATTAATGATTCCAAGACTGACGATGATGCGACCCCACCAGACGTGAACCGGTGTGGCAAAACTGCTCGTCCCAGTCTTCTTGTACATGAGGTGGTGAAATAACCCACTGAAAGGCTGCAGAATGAGCGCGCAGACGACGAAGATCCCCAGAATCGCGTGAGAGCTTCCCATGTACCCTTCCAGTCGCGCATACCAGATTCCAGTTCCCATACACGCGATAGCAAGGCCGTAAGCGAGAAGCATCCAACCGGCGTGCATCCAGAGCGTCAAGCGGAAGTGCAAGAGTCGAATGATCATAGCTCCAATGGGGAAGAGAAGGACGAATGCGATGACACCCATGAGAGCGTGGGCTTGGATGACACTTGCCATCAGCTCTGGAGAAATATTTTGGAGCCCGACGTTGGAGAGTCCACCATTGGCGCCGCCAGTGCTAGAAAGAGCAATACAAGAGTCGTCGTCGTCGCTATCGTTGCCGCTATCATAGCCTCCTTGTCCTCCTGGGCTGGGGGTGCCAGTTTGGCCTGGGAAACTAGTAGGGAAGCCTCCAGGTGGGCCATTGGGGAATTTCTTGGAGGTGCCTGATGGACGGACTCCTGGTTGTCCGTTCTTCTTGGTGCAAGGAGTGCCGGCTGGTGTAGTTCGCCCGTTTCCTCCGCTGGATGAGCCACCGGACATTACGAATGGGTTGACGCTACTGCCTCCAGCTGCTTGTTGGAGATTGATGGTCAGATCTCCGTCTTGGTTGTGTTTTGTTACGGGGGCTGAGGTGGAATCGGAGTTGATTGGGGAGCCGGTTCTATATGCCCAGATCCATTTGGATTGGGTGTCTGTAAGTGACATTGAACCTCCAGACCAGGTTTGGCAATTTGAACCTATTTTGACTTGTTAGTTACTGTGATTTGAGAACTGGGGTATCGTTGAGACGAAGGGGGGTCTGAAGGCTTACATTTCACATTCGCAGTCATAACATTATTGGTTATTCCAGTTCCATCCAATAAAGTCAGTTGAGAAGTGGCACCCATAGCAGGATCCCTATTGCCAACACCCAAACGATTTGTGAGCGTGATGTTGTTTCCAGCTGCGTTAGAATAGATCATGAAAATGTTCGATCCTGACATTGACCCTCCTTGACCAAGACCTATCCACGACATACTGGTCGGACCAGTTATCTGAAAGAACATATCTCCCGATCCACTAGATGCAGTTGCTTCTGGTACATTGACAGAGTAACATACTCCACCGCCGGGGCATTCTTGTACTGTTTGTGCTGTAGTACTTGATACTTTTGCTTGTTATTGATAGTATGTTGGAAGAAAGGGGGATGAACTTACTTAGAGCAAGTGCTCCGAAGAGCAGAGAGTTAGTGTACATGTTTGCGTTGGTGGTAGTATACAAGAATTGATCAAGTACCAGGTCAGATCCCTCACAAACATATAAAAAGGGGGTCGTGAGTTGAGGATGAAGAGCACCTCTGCACAAGGGGTGCGGGTAGATATATACGGAATGCCGTCACTAGTCGACGTTAACAACCCCAAACCCTCTCAATATCAAAACTCACCTATCAAAACACCTTATTACTAAACACCGCACACATACAAGAACTCAAGAGCCAGCCAAGATACCCCCAGAAATCAAAATCTCAAACCTATATATAACCCGCTCTCACATCAATGACGACAAATCTCCCCTTTCTCCATCATAATCCCATCAACATGACAGGCATCCCCACACTCGCCAATCCATCTCATCCCCCCTTTACCCCGTCCCCAAACGCTGTCCAAGTCTTGCCATTGGTCTCGGCAATGGCTAAAACTCGTACACCTCCTAGCCTGCCTCCCGTCTGCGCAAGCAGTCGAAGACCCTTTCATGTGCAGTGCAGTAGTATTCCAGTGCCTAAGCACATCGAGGCAGAGACAGCCATACGCCTGCACACTAGCTAGAGGAAACCAGGTCCTCGCCAATGCAGCACCAAGGCGATCCCTAGGCGAGAATGACGCGTGGCACCGAGACGTGCATGCAATAGTAGCCGAGCGAGACAACCTCAAGAGCACCGTCCGTCAACACGCCCACGATCCCAATCTCACAGAGGCAATTACAAAAAGAAGAGAATCTTGGTGAATCGGCTGTGCTTTCATACGTGGCCAGCTATCCATCGTGCAAAAACGTTGAGCAAACGGTTTTCTTGATCGTCGTCTAATTTCCAAAGAGGGTTTTCTGGGCTTGCTGGGCGCTAGAGGCGCAGTTTACTTGGGAGCAATGTTTTAAGAAGTCTCCGTACTCTGTTTCGTCTATTGGGTATTCTTCGATATGCATTCTCGATGGGAGTAGATAGGCCTACTAGAGTATCCTCAGATGCGTGCTTTATTTGCAGTAAATCTATGTAATCTTACTCACCTAATCACTGTCAATACTCCTTCTTCTTCAACCTCTATTACATAAGTACACTATCTCATTTCCAAATAGATTTCTAACAACCAACCATCTATACCAAACAAGAAATCCCAGAATTACCTACTCAATACACCACTATATCCCAGGCATGAAATTTTTGCCTACGAAGAAGTAATTTACCGTAACAAACATACGAAGTAACTTATGACATTAAACCCAGCCTTTCAAAACGAGAAAAATAAAGTTTCACTTGTACTTCGTCCTAGACATAATAGTTATAACTTTGACGGGGGATTCTTCCCTGTTCTCTACCAAAGTTACCCTCGGAAAGTTACACTTAATATGCCTGTGAAGAAGTAGAAAAACTCGATTCAATCGATCAGAGTTAAGAGCACAGCCCTCCTGCCAGCTCAACACCATCCACTCATCCAAAAGACTATCTGGCTATCCACGTACTCCGTATAAACACGAGGAATGCACCTTGAACAACCCCAACCCCGCGTAAGAGCTTACAGTAAATTTACTTATACCTGAAGGCAGTCACTTCCAAGAATTCTCTGATATCCAGTATTCTAAGGATAAGCAGATACATGCCATCCACTTCCATATCTCACTCGGAACTTACCACACAAAAGCCAGTCAGTCAGTCATTAACCCACACCTTTCCTTTCGACGGGTACAGTACTGTAACTCCCGATTCCGCCTCGATTCCGCCTCATTCACATCCCCCAAAAGAAAAAAACAGAATTCCACGAATCCAGGACGTCGTGACTCGTGAGTCCTCATATAAAATACCATTCTTCATTTCTCGCTCCACCACACCACACCACACCACATCACGCAGAGCTAGCTCAGTACTACAAAGCACAAAGTAAGATCTTAGTGGTACTCAGTAAGCACTTCGAATTAGTATTTACCTTGAGAGTCCCACTTCGACGACACCATCCAGAATATGAGGAATCGTCGATGTACTCGTACTCCTTATCGATACAACAGATACCAGATCCACTCAAAGCAATCGATATCCAATCCATCCTCCCCCCTCCTCCTCCCCATCCCCATCTTCATCTTCATCTTATCTATCTACCCACCACACCACCCCACCCCACACAAACCAAAAACCTTCCCACCAGTACAGTACACTCCTCCGTACCAAAGTAACTGAAACAAGGAACCCCCATCCGCATTAGCATAGCCTAGCCTGTTTGACGGTGAGCCAACACCCTTCCATCCCTCCCACTAAGCACTAGCACTCTAGTGTGATCCGGTGGTGCGGTACCGGCACTAGTACTAGTACGGAGAGTAGACTCCACTTCCCACCCTCCGGACGGGCGTCCAGGGCCAGGTTCCTGGGAAGGGGGAGAAAGGCGGGGCGGTAGTTTTAGTCAAAACTCAAACTTTAATTGTCAAAGAACCAGAATCTGAAAAGAACAGCCCGATGGCTGGGTGCCACCGAGCCGGTACATTCAAACAAGCGAGTGAGATTGGAGGGGAGAGGGGAGTTGGTACAAGTATGTCATATGTGGTATTGGCATGTAAAGTAGTTCATAACACTGTTAATAAGAAGCACGACGTAGATGGCACCAGGCCATTCCATTGATTTTCTTCCACTTAAAAGATCCCCGTAGATGCATGCCACATGCTGAGATCCTCATCCGTGATAACAAGCATTCATCTCACCGGCTCGTCCTCAATTCTGATGATTCCTTTTTTTATCGTCATTTTCAAACTGTCGTCGAACCTGCGCTGCAACCTCCTCACTCTCCAGAACCTGCCAACCGGCAATTGCCATTCCCTTGGCGGCGGTAATGGTGAGACGGTGAGCTTCGATGGTAGCTGCACACGCCGTGAAGCCCGGTGTGTGGTTTGCGGAGCCTTCGGTGACTGGGATGCCGAACATGGCGTGGAACCCTGGACATACGTATGTGACATTTCCTATATGAAAGGATGTTAGTAGAAGCTACAGTATACTGGTTTGAGAGAGTTGATGGGAAAACGGACCCATGTCTGTTGAGGCTGAAATGACGGATGAGGTGTCGAGAGTTACAGGCGAGTCAAGATCTCCCATTGCGTCGGCGTAGAGTTTGCAAAGAACATAGTTGGGACATAGATCAGCATAGGCTGTCGCTCTTTGGTCACAAAGTTAGGGAATCTTCTTGTTAGGGGATGGAACATAAAGGCTCACTTTTCATATTCCACTTTGCACCCCGTTGCGAGTGCAGCAGCGTCAAAACATTTAATCACCCTGTCCTGAAGAGATTCCATCTCCGCAATCGTCGCACTCCGTACACAATAATCAAGAGATGTATCCGCAGGTATGATATTATTGGCTGCTCCACTTTTCGTAATGATTCCATGGACTCTTTCGTAAGAACGAATTTGTTGCCGTAGCATACTAACCGCGTTATAGCCTAGTACCACCGCATCCAAAGCATTGATTCCTTCGTAAGGATGCTGAGCAGCATGAGCCGCCTTGCCTGTGAAATGGACGTTGAAATGAGTTGCCGCACTCGATTTGATGAATGACTTGCCCGAGAACTTTGGGTCTTCCACTGGAGCTGCGGGATGAAGCATCATACATGCATCTACATCTCGATACGCTCCCTTTTCGATGAGTACCAATTTTCCTCCGCCGCCTTCTTCGGCTGGTGTTCCCAATAGTCTAACACGACCAGGAATCTTGGATTCTTTCAGGGCGGCTGCTACACCTAAGAATGCGGCTATTGAGGATGTGGCGATCAAATTGTGTCCACAAGCATGTCCTATTCCGGGTAAAGCATCGTACTCGGCGTTGAAAACTAAGAGACGACCACCTTCTCCATGCTCTGCCTCGAAAGAGGTTTCCAGGCCATAAGCATGTTTCTTGACCTTGAAGTTGCGGTCCTCGAGGAATTTGATAATGTTGTCATGTGCGTGGTATTCTTTGAAGCAGAGCTCTGGGTTTGCGTGGATCTGTTTGAGGATTAGCGATTGATCTTGTTATTGTAGGAGGTAGCCCCGTACCTTCAGATTTATATCGCGCAGACCATCATCATCAGCATCAATTGTGCCTTTGATGATCTTGGAGGCGTTGTGATTGTGCGACATTGCAAGTTTGGTATTGTGTCCAACAGAAAGGGCTTTCATTTTAGTCATATTGCGTTGTTATTGAAGATAAATCAAAATTGATATACAGAGAAAATATAATATTATGGTCAAGTGTTCAATTCCGTGCCGTACGATCCGCTCTACCCGTATTATTCAAAATGTGACAAGATATTCTTCGTTCAACATTCAAGTGAATTGGTGGTTGTGTAGTTCAAAATGTTACCCCACCTTTGGTAGTACAGTACTGCAAGTATCTTGACATCAGACTTCTCCACTTTTTGCCACCTCCAATCGGTACCTACAGAAACCTTAGGGAAGCTTCCGCCCATCTTTTCTGGACGACATTTGGGTACCGGTAGCTCATGGGCACTGGAAACTCAGTATTGACTCCAGTTGCTCTGTGGAGACTTTCGGATGATAGAAAATGTATCCAGTAAGAAAATTGAAAACTGCATTATCACAAAACTTCTCGAACAATGGTCCTAGTGACCAGTATATGTCCCGAAAGACAAGAAGGATTCGTGCTTGGGGATGGTCGGTTCTTGGTAAATCCCTTCACTTGGCTTCACCAACTCGGGACCTTCTTGATAATTCTATCAGAATATGAAAGAATTGTACGGAGTAGAGTAACAGCCAGAGCAGGGCAGAATATAAGCGAACAAAACAATCTCAGTAAGAGATAGAGGAAGGAAAAATGGCGGATAAGATGGTGCGCTTCCTGTAGACAGTCTTTTCTAGTCAGAACAAACGACCGATTGAGAATCGGATCCGCTCCAGTATGAAATACATGTAAATCTTACCGCTGGTATATAACCCCGAGATTATAGCCTGACTTCTTCCAACCAAGTCTCTGCCCATTATTGTGCTCGGTGCTTCCTCAAAGCTGCCCAGCTGCTGGTTGGATGCTTTTTCCGGCGCCTGCAATCTCCCTCAGCATTCAGTTGAAGCGTGTCTGTTACCTTTGAAGTGTTTCAACATGGTGGCATGAAGGAAAAAGGAAGAGGAAAAGTATGAAAAAGTACGGATGACGAGACTGATAGGATTGTAGCAAATAGATACCAGTACTTGCATTGGTTAACGAGTGGTGAGGTGTGCGTGGGAGTGAAAGTGAGAGTGGTGAACGAAGTTGTGAGGGGAAAGTGAAGCCGAAGCTCTCAACTTTAATAGGAGCCTGGGAGCATGGGTTACGGGTCGCTTGGTGGCCCCAGCAACCAGGCGCGGAGACAGGGATCCAGCAAGTAAAGCTGTCACTCATCTCGCGATCGCATCGCATCGTCTCTCCGCTGAATTTTTCCCCATCCCCAACACAATACAGTCTGGTACTTGAGTGTATCGGCTGTCGCTTTCCTTAGAAATGGCTTCCGGTACTGTGACCATCGAGAAGACTTACTTTGAGACGCTGTTACGAAGGTATGTTGGTCCGGTCTCCTTGGGTTGCGATGTTGGAGGCGCGTGCTTGCGCTCCGAAAATGTGGGATTGTGGATTGCGGAGGAGCTTGAAGCTTGGATTGGGATGGGATGCTGATGCATCCGAATGCTGATCGGTACCCCGCCAAAACTAGAGCCCAATTTGTACGTTCCAGTTCCACCAGCAGAGGGGCAATCTGCTTTTCGAAATCTCGAATTAATCACATCCATAGCATGCGCCGGCCACCGATTTCACCACTCCTCTCGACGTTCTCACCGTGACAATTCCCAAGAGCGATCATGATAGTCTTGTACGAGGTCCCCTCCACAATCACGCAATGCCCATGCTACACATGCTGATTTGCTCCCAGTTGACCATTGCCCGACAATTTGGTACGCTGTACTCTGCGCGGAGCTTGTTACTCGCACCCTTAAGCCGAGTCGATTTTTGTTGGTTGGACTGTTGGTTGACTTTTTTTCTCTAGCAAATCTGCAGACAAACCTTATTCAGGGCGGCATCACTCAAGAAACCCTAGCCGTGAGTTCTAAGGGTGTCACTTGCTATTGGATGGCACTAACAGCCGCCACTAGATCTTGACCCAAGGAGTTCCTAGCAACGATGAAACAGCTACAACAATTACCTCTGCAGTCGACGAGAGCTCCGATGCTGGTTTCCTCTCTCAACGACCATTGTCAACAGTCTACACTAATGGCGGGCAGGACTACACATTCGGAAGAAATGCCAATTACACCCCCCGAAATACTGGGCCTCGGCCACGAGACACCAATGGCTACAAGAGTGGCTATCAAAATGGGTATCAAAATCACTCCAGCAGCGATGAGAATCTACACATGCCCGAAGCACCAGTAGATGCATTTTACGATGGAGGAAGTAACGTAGAGTCGCAACCAAAGTCCCGACGTCAATATGACAAGTTTGCAAAACGCACCGTGCTATTGGCCAACCTCCACGAAGCTACAACCCATGCCGATATTGTCGATGCAGTTCGAGGTGGTATGTTGTTGGATCTCTACCTTCGCGGGGGTGATAGAACAGCAAGTGTATCATTCTTGGAGGAGGCAGATGCTCACGAATTCTTCCGTCATTGCAAGGCCAATGATCTATACGTTCGTGGAAAGAGAGTACGCACTACTTGATGGGTTTTCCGGACTTTTTATGCTAATCAGACACAGGTCGACGTCCGTTGGAATGATCGCCAGTTCATCCTTCCAGGACATGTTGCCAACAAGATTGCTATTGGTGCAACTCGAAATTTGGTGGTTTTGAATCGTACTCCAAGACATACGGAGGAAATGATTCGTGACGATCTGGAGCATATTCACAATCTTGTTGTCATCAAGGTTGTGTTTGACAATCACAACGCCTATATCTCCACCAACTCTGTCCACAATGCAATGTTTGCCAGAACTTGTATGATGAGCCGCGCTGTATATAAGAGCTCGAAGATTGAATGGGATACCGACGAATGTGCTGGACCTTTTGAACCACGTCGACAGCCCACGACCAATTCGAAGGAGGCGACCAAGAAGGAGGTACCATTGACGAATCGATTCCAGCTTCTCAGTATGGATGAGGATGATGGATCATTCGAGAACGACGACGAAATTGTAAGCGGCATGGATTTTCCAACTCCGGCTTCCTTTATGGTTTCTTGAGTGATCTCTTTTCGAAGCTGCTGCTGGGATTCTTTTTGATGAGACTGGGGATGATTCATGAATGAGACGACGACTTTCAGTTTGATGCTGCCACGGAGCTCTTTTGTTTTCTTTTGGCGTTGAGGGGCGTTGCTTTCGCTGGACAAAGGGGTTTGGTGATTATTCAGATACCCTAGGTCTGTCTGTTACTGATCGCGAATACCCCCAAATTTGTATTTTGTTGCTCCAGCTGGTTGGGCGAGGTCATTTCTAAAAGGGGAAGTCGTCCAATATGTATATGTAAGATTACGGTGGCATGGTAAATTGCTGTAGCTCACTCGGGTGAGGGATGCCCAAGTGTCAATAGGTAGTTCGGGTGAAAAATAGGAATTGAGAGTTACATTCACTGATATGTGATCTATCATGTTTATATCTTGAAACATTCGTCTTTTGCAACGGTAAAGGCTCGTAGGGCTTATCGGCGATGACGAGTCTTTGAGGATCCTCGTTTCAGGTACAGTACTGAGACTGGGGTACGCCACTACTCCAACCATCCCTGGCTCTCACGAGATTATGCCAGATCAATACCTTCACCTACAACCAACACACGCTGATTTACTCTGTACTGTACATACCTACGATGCGACCGAGTGCCACACAGTCTGATCCGGCATCGATATCGATATCCAATGCTCCCCTCGAACTCGAGATGCGCCGAAGGTGATGGCGGTGATGCCTGTCTGGTCCCGGGCTTCCAGAAGCATCATGCCTCGACGTCGTGGGCCGCTCTCGCTTTCTCCTCCGTCCCCTTACTGATGACTTTCGTCGCTGTTGCGATTGTCGTACACCATAAATTGTTTCCTGTCATTGCTGGTCTGCAGAATTCGAAGGCGGGGGAGGAACATTATCTCCCTTCGAATGCGCCGGACTTTTTGAGGCAAAGACATGAGGAGCAGGGGAAGAAGGATGGGAGGAGGAGGGTTGTTGCGGGCGCGTTTTCGGCGACGATTGCGTTGGCTGCTGTGCTTGCGGAGTTGATACTCTGTGAAATATCGAACACGCTGAATGCCTCCGCGAGGTCCCTTGCGCTCAAGGCAACGGTACCAACGCTACTCTTTCTTCTGATTATACTTGTACCCTTTCTCGAACTACAATCGATTGTCTCTGGGTCCGGGTGGAGTTTTCAAAGGACCGCGAATGGTAACTTTCCTAGGACGGCTTGGGGTTTGCAACTTATTGGGTTTACATTGTGGATAGCTTGCTTTTGGTGGTTGGGAAAGGGAATACCCGGAACGTATATACACAAGATGGCCTCTCAGCCAGGAAAGGGACTGAGTGAGGCTTCCTTAGAAAGAGTAGGAGTTATAGGGATATCATTGATGGCATTACTTTCTGGTTTTGCTGCCGTTACAAATCCATGGCAGACGTTTGGAATCAAAACCCGGCCGGTTACGGAAGCAGATGTCAATCGAAAACAAGCAGGACTTGATGCTACGAATGACATGCTCGCATCCAAGAAAAGCCGTCTCCGCGCTCTTCAACGCAAAGCCCAAGATACACCAGCAGAAGGCTTCATGACCAAAGTTCTAGGCACTATCCGCGGCTCCCCGGAAGCCCAAGAAATCAAAGCCCTAGAACTCGAAATCAATGGCTTAACTTCCATGGCTCTAAGTCTCTCGACCTCTCTCTCAGTCCTACAAAATCGCCTGGCATTCAGCCAAAGAGCTTCTTCCCCTCTAGGAAAACTATTCCTCACACCTGCATCCTATGGCTTTTCCATCTACTGCATTTACCGCATCCTCACCACAACAATTTCCACCATCCGCCGCGCATTCTTCCCCTCCGACGCCTCTTTCACATCTTCCGCTACCGACCCCATAAACCGCATCCTCTCCCTACTAGCAAAACACGTCGACCCAACCCTCGACCAACTTGCCTGGTCCCGGCAAATCTCCTTCCTCCTCTCCGGCGTCATCCTCCTCGCCTCCTTCAACTCAGTCCTCCAAACCTTCCACATGATCACCAAACTCTCCCCCTCCCTCCTCTACCACGCGCAAACCAACCTCGCTCTCATCATCGCGCAGATCAGCGCGACATATGTGATTTCCAGCGCCCTATTGCTGCGGAGTGATCTCCCGAGCGAGATGAAGAGCGTGATTAGTGAGGCCCTGGGGAGCCCGCTGGAACCGGGGTTCGTGGAACGCTGGTTTGATGGCTGGTTTATGGTTGCGAGTTTGGCGACGGCGGTGGGGATTTGGGTTGGACGGCAGATGGGGGGCTGGGGGGAGGGGGAGGAGTGGGAGTTGTATGATGGGGATTTGGAGGTGGGGGAGAAGAGGAGTTGATACTTTTCCTCCCCCTCCTTTTTTCTTTTTGTGANGGGGGGAGGGGGAGGAGTGGGAGTTGTATGATGGGGATTTGGAGGTGGGGGAGAAGAGGAGTTGATACTTTTCCTCCCCCTCCTTTTTTCTTTTTGTGAGATATGTTTTGGGTTGGTTTTTTGTGCGGGTTTGTGGTTTGTAGTATATGTTATTTACATTGGGGTTCTTTTCTTCATCTTCTCTTTCCTTCTCCTTTTTTTGGGTGCGTTTATTTTGTGGGATACCATGGAGATTCTGGTTCGGGTTGGGTTTGGGCTCTGGACTGGGGAACGGGAATATGGGGATGGGGGCATGGGTGGAAAAACTGCTTTGTGTATAGTATTATAGAGTAGATATTACATAGGGAAATGTGATGTGAATGAAAGAGCGTTTTGACGTTGAGATTGAGTCTACAGAGTTATAGCATCTTATCTTAATAAAAAGAAAAGGAAAGTCTAGTCAGGCCAGGTCCTATGTGGAAGGAAGGATGAAAGATAGACCGATTACTTGGGTTGTGGATTTTTGTGGGGTTTGTAGGATTCTTTATGCTTTTATGTCGGTTGGTTGGGAGGGGGTATTGTATTTGGATTTAGGGGATTTAGGGGATTTAGGTGAGGGATGGCATGGGATAAAATGGGATGGGAATACGTACGATTTGCTTAGTCATCATCAAACTCAGCGAGCTCAGTAAGTATGTAGATCCCTACCTAGAATAAGCTTAGTTAGACTTAGTTAAGCTAGAGTTGGGTTTAGGTTTAAAGTTACTATAGTACTATTACTATACCGAGGATAAGTTAGGAAAGGTGTTAGAGGATATCATAACTAGGTATGGTTTTATATAGACATTAGAGGGTTTATTAGTTTGTATATATATCGTGAGTTTTTTTAAGAGAGAGAGCGAGAGAGAGGGTTTGTTTATTCTTTGGAAAAATTAAGAAAGAAAATGTATAGCTAGTAAATGTGATAACATAGATTGTAAGATTCGAGAGTAGAGGAGTAGATATTAGTTGGGTGTAAGTATAAGAGGTTATCCGCTTAGCTACTTTAACGGTTGGAGCCTTGGATGTTTTTGAGAGGTTCATATCTCCTCTGTGGTCCTCGTCCCGCCAAGATGTGTTTTCGTGTTTGGCGAGCTCCTGATTTCAACGCATCTCTTTTTATACGGAGACTTACAAGGGTTTTGTAGTCGGAGTTTTGATTCTAACGTGGTACTATATTAATACAACATTCCTAAGTTTATATAAGTTTCTCTCGACTTTTGTAGAAGTTATATGTAATACTAAATAGAGTATTTTGAAACCACTTTACACGCCCCTAATTAGGCCAAACACATTCCTCGTGAGACAAGTACCCACGGAGGAGATAGGTAGCTCTGGGTAGTTCTAATGGAGTACAATTACTTGGTGTGGCTCGAATCACGACTCACTTGATCGGTGTAGCCGTTCTCTGGAGCAAAATCAAGTACTGGTGGATATAATACATCGATAGAGTCCTATCCATACACCTAAACAACCCAACCACCAAACCCAACATCTACACAACATCCCCCCCAAACCCAACAGGTTTCCTCCCCCCACTCTCAGGCACAATCGCAAGCGCCTTATACACCTTCCCCATTCCACTGCCCCCTCTATCAACCAACCTCCTCCACGCCCCCTGCACCTCCCGTATCCTCTTATCCACCCCCTCATCCTTCCCTCCTTTCCCAGCAACCCACTTACTTTTTTCCAACCCCTTGACTAACATCTCCGCCCTCTCTCTAATCCCCATCGCAGAAAGGAACCCCGCCTGCTCAACAGGCCCATGGACTTCGACTCCAGGACTAGCCATCAAAGCCGCCTCCGCCAGGCCCGTGAAATCCACATCGGCGCTGAGATCCACGAGCCCCGGCGCGGAGAAGGGAGATACGTACTGGTGGTCCCGGATTCCGCGCAGGGAGTTGATGGGGATGGTGGCTGAGGGTCCGTAGTCGAGGATGAGGGCTGCGCCGGAGGGGGTCTTTTTTGGGTGTTCTGAAGAGCCGCCGATGAGGGTGGCGATGGCGCCGGTGTAGGTGAGTGATTCCGGGGAGATTTCTATGAGGGAGCCCGGGGTTGGAAGGAGGGTTTTGTAGCGTGGGGAGAGGGAGGGGAGGTAGAGTGAGTGCGGGGTGGGGGCTGGAGAGAGGGTGAGGTGGAATTCGTCGGGTGATTGTTTGGAGCTGTAAGTTTGTGGTGTGGCGGAGACGACCATTTCTCGCCATTGAGGGCCAGGAGTCTTTTTTGCTTGGATGGCTGCTGCGTCGGGAGTCAGTTCGTAGGAACCGGTGGGTGTTTTGATGGTTGTTGGTTCTTGAGGGGGTGGTGGGATGGATTGGAATGCATGTATTGGTAGAGCATCGAAGAATTCATGAGCCACGATGAATGGAGTTTTATCATGATCTATGGTGCGTAAGTAATAAATACCATTTAGGTGGGATGAAAACTTACCAGAAGGTACGAAACGAATGTTTTCCGTCCATATAATCGGTATATCAGCATATTTACTAATACACCTCCAACCAATTTCCGTCTCAACCATCTCTTTATCCCCACATAGTAACTGTTTCTGACTTTCTCTCAGAGCAGGACTGGCTTCCACCATATAAACAGCTTCAATAGCGACAACCATAGGTTGGAAATTTCGTATTGTCTATATAAACCTATCAGCACTTTTCCATACAATGCCCTTTGTGAACAATCTAGACATACTCTCAACATGTCATCCATCAAGGTGCCCCTCCCAGGACCAATTTCAATAAACTCCACTCCCTTCCTCTTCTTCCCTTGTGCCATCCATTCCGCCACAAACCAAATCCCGATCAGCTCTCCGAAAATCTGTGAGATCTCAGGGGAGGTGATGAAATCCCCTTTCTGTCCAAATTGATCTCTGCCTTCCTGTTTGGAGGTATAGTATCCGCCTACGTCGGAGGTTAAACACATTCGCATGAATGATGCTAGAGGAATTGGTCCTGTTGCCTATGAATTATATTAGACGGTGTTTTTGGAGGTTTAGGAGGGAGAATTGGTACTGTGATAGCTTCAGAAAGCTGTTTTGCTAGTGGCGTTGACCATTGTCGTGCTTCTGTTTCTGACGATGACCACCTTATTGCTGAACAAGGAGCTCTGTATTTTCCCCGCGCAGCATTGCGCAAAGCATTTCGAGCTTGACTTGCAACAATTGACTTCATAATCGTCAAATCCTATCGTTACCTTCGCATTTTCCAATATGAGTGAAGTACACAATGTGGTTGTCAAGACAGAAACCTTGTCGCAAACTAATCCCGAGGTTCACCAAAATATTTCAAGCCATGACGCCTGTCCCAAGCTCAGCCTCGACAAAACACCTCAACACCACCCCCCAACCATAAACCACCACAATGAGCACCAAACCCAAATCCCGGTGGGCAGACGATGACGAAGATGCAGCACTAGACGCCCAGCGAAAAGCAGAAAAAGAAGCCAAGAAACGCGCGAAAGCTGAGAAACAGCGCATCGCAGAGGAAGCCGCGGCGGCGCAACAGCTGAAGCAACAACAGCAAGCACAACAAGAATTCGAGTCTCACCACTCCCCTCTTTCTTCGCGGCCTTCGAAACGGCGGAAACTGTCGCCTCCTGTGGAAGCTGAGAGACCGGAGATACAAGATGATCTCCTGCCTGCGAAGTTACTGCGGTTCCCTGCGCCTGCGTGGAAGAAATGTCGCAGTGTTGAGGATTTTGAGAAGTTGAATGATATAGAAGAGGGGGCTTATGGATGGGTTTCTCGGGCGAAGGATACGGTTATGGGAAAGGTTGTTGCGCTCAAGAGGTTGAAGATGGATAATGCGAATGATGGGGTGCCTGTAACTGGGTTACGGGAAATACAGACGTTGAGAGCATGTTCGCATCCGAATATTGTTGCTTTACAAGAGGTGGTTGTTGGTGAGGATACGAGTAAGATTGAGAAGTAAGTTGTTTTTAATTCCAATCTATCCACTTTGGATTCGAGGTCCAGACCGAGTACGAATCCAAGTTTATGGAACAAAATACGGAATACTAATATGATGAGAACAGTATCTTCCTCGTCCTCGACTTTCTGGAACACGACCTTAAAACTCTCCTCGAAACCATGCCCGAGCCCTTCCTAACCTCTGAAGTAAAAACCCTCTTACTACAACTAACATCCGGAGTCGCCTATCTGCATAGCAACTTCATCCTACACCGGGACCTCAAAACCTCCAATCTCCTCCTCTCCAACCGGGGCGTCTTAAAAATCGCAGACTTTGGAATGGCACGCTACTACTCCACACCATCCCCAAGACTCACAACGCTCGTAGTCACCCTCTGGTACCGATCTCCAGAACTCCTTCTAGGAACCGAAACCTACGGTCCATCCGTAGATATCTGGAGTCTAGGCTGTATATTCGGCGAACTCCTCTCCTCAACCCCTCTACTACAAGGAACCAACGAAGTCTCCCAACTCTCCCTAATCTTCTCCCTCTGCGGCATCCCCTCCGAAAAAACCTGGCCCTCCTTCCGCCGCCTCCCCAACGCTCGCTCCTTAAAACTCCCCTCCACCGCCCAATCCCCCGCAAGCCACGGCTCCGTGATTCGCGCCAAGTTCCCCTTCCTCACCTCCACCGGCGCTGCACTCCTCACCTCGTGTCTTGCACTAAATCCCGCATCCAGACCTACCGCACAGGAAGTGCTAGATCATGAGTTCTTCAAGGAAGATCCGAAGCCGAAGAGTACCGCTATGTTTCCTACGTTCCCCTCGAAAGCGGGGATGGAGAAGAGGAGACGGGGACGGACGCCTGAGGCGCCTGGGAGGGGGAAGGCGAGGGAGCTTGGGGAGGTGGATTTTAGTGGGGTTTTTGGGGGGGAGAGGAGTGAGGAGAGGGGTGGGGGATTTGCGTTGAAGTTGATTTGATTAAGTAAGGAGGGGGTCTATACTATATCTCGGGTGGGATTTAGGGGGTTGCGCGGATGGACAGTCATTAGCGGAGCTGTAACCATCCGCACCTTGCCTACAGTACCTGAGAATTTCCGTGTATCTATATTTTTGTTTTTCCTAGCAAATGGGAATCATATCTAATAATAACATAATACCCCCAGTCTCGTCCCTCGAGTTGGGGAATCTTGGAAAGTTGAGAGCCGAATGAATAGAATAGAATGGAATGTAATAAATTAAACGGCAAACGACAGGACTACTACTTATATACTACTTTACTACCTAGTTCACTAGTAAAATTACTATGGGTAGTAAAGAAATGTTGGATTTATAGGTAGTAAGTGGCTCTTAGTACAGCCCCTTCCCAAAAGTAGCAAGAAGCAAGAGTTATCTATCTACTAGTGTATTACTGTACAGGTTATTTGGCAAGGTATTTTGTATGTCAATTCCTTTACTTGATAGGTTCTATAGTCTCGAAACATCTTGCTAATTTTGGGAAGGAGCTATTCGCATCGTGAATGAATAAGTGACTCTTACGTTGGGAATAGAAGAAGAAAATATAACTAAGTATTTCTCTTCTCTACAAGTACTATCTTCTTTTACATGACCCACGAGATTATTCGCTAAAACTCTACTAAGATGGGCTATGCTATCAACCATTGTGATTCGTTGTTAGTGTCATCTTTAAATGAATTTCGTGGTGGCTGTGACATATAATATATGGTGTTGTTCACTCTTCCTTAGCCCCAAGCCCAGGTTCATTGTACTCGTAGCGAGAAAAGGAGTAGCGAAGCATTTTCTTCCCACCTCAGCCCCCTCCCAATTCCCCGAGTGTAATGCAAAGTTGATAATGCATGAATTTTTTTAAGCTTAACGGGCCTATCAAGAAGGCGACGCAGATCCCTCACATCGCGACTTGTAGCACTCGATGACTTGCTTGGTGGAAAACAAAGAAGTGCAACCAGTCGCTCAGATCACCAAAAACAATGCGGTGCGTGCACTTGTTTATGTACCGTAAGTCTAAAGGCATTCATGCTTTCATCCCAGCAAATCATGGTTCGCAGCTCTGGCAAAATGATCCGCAGCGGCGAACGAGTCTATTTATAACGTGCTCTCTGATTTGCGGGAGACGCTCAGAACACGAGAAATGGGGCTTCTGGCAGCCTCTGGGCACAGGTGAATCCCGGTCCTTTACGGCATCTCGACAGGGCGGTTGGGTTGGTCTGATCTCCTGAGGGCTCATTATCTCGCGGTCTCCCTTCCTGTCTTTTCCTTCCCCTGGATTCCCTTTCCACCACATCATCAACGTCTTCATCCCTACTAATCCCGTCGTTATTGTAATTCATCCACCTTTACAGACCTCACTCGTTCGGTCCCATAATCTTTTGTTTTGCGATCCGGGAGGAAGGCGTATAGCGTAGCTTACAGGAGCTTAGGTGAGTGCAGGTGCAGTCAGTGAGTGGCAGTTGCCGTTTTTTGCTTCCCTCTCCCTCGGGCAACCAGCACAGTGGTTCGACGGCTAACCCACGAACTCGACAGGGGTTTCTGAATACCGTACACATCAACAGTCGATCATCCATACGAAACATTCATCCCTCCGCACACGAAATACTGTTACGCGAAATAAACATCATACAGTAATTGCTGATTATCGTTGGTCTTGGATACGTCCTGATTGTTGTGTTGATTTTTTTGGGAGGAGCTTTGGTTCCGAGGGGTTTTGTCAACAACACCATCCGAACAACCCAAACACATACATACACCATGAGGGCCACGATAAACCTCTATTCCTTACTTATTCTTCTTCTTGCCACTTTTTCTGCAGCATGGCCTTGGCCAGAATGGCTACCTGATAGGGATGCATTGATTGTACGACAAGACAACAACAACAATAACCGTGAGCATACCATTTCCGTCCAAGGGGTAAAGTAACCAAAACTAACAATCACACAGCACCACCAGCATCAAACGCCCCTCGACCTACCGCAGCCCCTGCTCCAACAGAAAACCGCAATCCTTCGAACACTGATTCTAATGCAAGTGGAACCGACAGACCCGCTGCAACAGGTACAGATAGACCCAATCCCTCAGCAACCGACAGCAGAGGACCCATTACCGACGGTCCTCAGCCCACTGATGCCTCCACCACCGCCTCGACCGAGAAATCCTCCTATGGAAACGAGAACCCAGCTGGAGGAGTAGTCCTCGTAACACCCGCCGTCCTCCAGGGCTCGCAATTCTACAAGATCGGCGACAAAGTCACTTTTGCATGGAACTACACCAATCTCCTTGCAACCCCCACGGCAGTCAACGTCTACGCAACCAACGCCCTGGCAAAGAACTACTATACCATGACAGCCAACATGACGGTTGGAGGTAACGCAACGAATGCCGTGATCTGGGATACCGCGAATTATACCTCTTCTCCTTCAGGAGTTACGGATCCCTTATTGACAGCTCAATACACGCTTATTATCTTCGATTCAGATAGTAGTGTGAGTGCGACTGCGCAACCGGGATACCTAGCTGTATACAACCAGTACCAGTTCGGGATGTATTTGAAGCAGCCATACACCGATTTGGCAGACGGGTATAAATGCGCGACTTGCAGTGGCGCCATGGGGGATATGGAGAGGAGATTCCTCAGTTTTGTTTTTGGAATGGGCTTACTTACCGTTCTCAGTTTCACCTGGTTCGTTACTGGGACGGGCGTAGTATGGTGATGAATACACATACATATGAAAAATAGCATGGAAATAATCCTAGATCGGATTGGGGAAAAAAGAGATACGAGAGAGCATCATTGGATTGGTGTACATGTCACTTTTGTTACAAGGGAATTAATTGCTTTGATCTACCGAGTCAGTCAGTCAGTCAAACATGGGCATAGGTGTTTGCCGTTACGCTCCTTTTGCATTGTTTGGGAATGGGGGGTTCGGGGGCATTATGGTGTTTATGGGTCGATCCTTTTCTTTATTTTTTGTTTTCCAACATCCGGGGGTTCTGGGCATAGATAGCATAGCGGCAGAGCAGTGCAAAGCAGCTGAGTGCCAATGGTATGGTATGGTATGGTCAGTCAGTCAATACTTTACGTAATGAATGGTGAGAAGATGTGTGGAGCAAATGGGGGAGATTGAAGCGGGATGTGGTGAGAGGAGATTGGGAAGGGAAGCGAAGGAATGGAAAGGAAAGGGAAGGGAAGAAAAGGGAAGAAAAGGGGAGTACTTCTTGTATATAAGTGATATACATTAATGGTCTTTGCTACTACCATACCTTACCGAACCGAACCGAGTTTACTTACCTAGCGAGCGAGGATATTATTCGCACGTTCGTTCTAATGTATTATTGTGATGTTGTTGTAATTATACGCAGGTGTAGATAGATATGCCCCTTGGGGTTTTATGGGTTTGTGTAGGTAGGTGTTTGGTTTGATTGGAAGTATGTTGGAGGTGTGTGGAAGTGTGTTGTATGTAAAGGGATGGATGGATGGATGGAGATGGTGAGTAGGTTGTTGGTAGGTTGTTGGTAGGTTGTTGGTAGGTTGGTTGGTTAGTTGGTTGGTTGGGAGGGAGGGGGTAGTATAGTATAGTATACTATACACTTCCCTTTCTCATACCTTTTACCTTTTACCTTTACTTATACCCTCCCCTTCCTTTCCTAAGAATCCTTATAATTCTATAAAAGTAATACCTATTTATTTATTTATCTATTTACTAACCCCCTTCCTCCTTCCCCCTTTGAAAAAATAATATCTTACTATCTATCTATTTATCTATTTACTAATCCCCTAAAAATATATATTTCTCTATATCTCTCTCTTTTACTAGAGTATATTAATCTAGAGTTACTTTTTACTTTACTAATATTATAAGACCTTCTACTTTATAAGTATTTTATTGGTATTTTATATACCTAGATAGGTAGATAATTAGAGGTCATAGATTAGTTTTTTTAATAGGATAATAGGGGGTTTAGGTTTTAGGGTTTAGTATTTAGTATTTAGAGGGTTATTTATAGTAAGGTTAGGGAAAGAGGGGATATTTAAGTGTTAGGGAGGTTAGGGAAGTTAGGGGGTTTAGGAGAGGGTAGGAAGTATATTTAGAAGTATATTTAGAGGTATATAGAAGGGGTAGAGGTAAGGAAATAAACTAAATTCTTTTATAAGTAAAAAAAGTAATTTATTATTCGATAGCTTTTGGAAAGAAAGAATGGTTTTTAGTAGATATAAGAAAGAGGAGGGGTTTAGAAATAGTTAGCTTAGAAAGAAAGTAATAGATATATAGTTAAGAGGGAAGAACAGTGTCAAGAATCACGTGTTAGCATGTGACGAGTTAGTCCAAACGGCGTTCTGACAGGACAGATACATCCAGAGTAGTTATATCATAGCAGTGGTTACTCAGGGTTGTTGAGTATCCAAGGATTTCATAGCATTCATAGTCACGTGATAAAAAGCGCGACAGCACGACGAGCGCGCTGTCGACATTTGGGATTTGGAGAACGAAGGTTCTATATAAGACTGGCATGTCTGCCATTAGATAGGAGCTTCGTGCTCAACTTAGTTATCAA